ATAAGGAAAAAAAATGTCAGGAAGTGGCAAATTGCTTCTACAATGGTGGCAGGGGGGACAATCTCCAGTACTCATCAAGAAGGCTTGATATTCTAATAAAAAAATAAACTCCTAATAAACAATGATTCCCAGCTTTGTAGAAATAAGGAACTAACAACAATTTGTTTAATTCAACTGCTCTATTAGTTAGAAAATAATTGAGGGAATAAGGAGGAGGATTGGTTTCATGCACGGGAAAGCTCTCAGCTAGGAAGTGTAGAGAATGCAGGAGCTGCTACCTTGGTAAACAGTTTGCAATATTTTTTTTCCAGTGCAGAATGACCAGATAACATTCAAAGGTAGCTCAGATAGAGACTTACCTAATTCACTGGACTATAAGAAGGGTGTGGAGGCAGAGCACAACTGGATTTGCAACTGGACTCTGTTACAAGTATAGCTAATCTCAATTAAAGTAGTTTTTAGCCTTCCTGTGGAATGGACTTTTTAGTTTAAAAAAGTAAACAGAAGAGTTCCTGTTAGAGTTTTAAATCCAGATGCAGAATTAATATGTGTGATGCACAAAGAGCATGGCGTTTCAGTCTATTTTATAGAGCCGTGATGGCAAGCCTATGGCTCATGTGCCACAAAGTGGCACATAAAGCCATGTCACCCGCCACATGCAGCTTTACTTATTTGTCTTCTGGGTTTCTGGCACAATCAGCTGTCCTTTGCACATGCGGCAGTGCTGAAAATTGGTGTGCACATGCATGCCGGCCAGCTGATNGAACCGCTGAACTGCAGATAACAGTCAGCTGAAGTGGCCTGCACTACTGCACTCTAACCACTGCGCCACCTCGGCTCTGGAGTGTGGATACTTCTCTTTAAAAAAAGAGAAATCCGCAACTGATAATCCTGCAGAAAGAAGCAAGAAACTACAGAATGGACTTGCAGGTGGAAAAGATTGTGATATTTGGAAAGACCAGACTGAGAAGTTTAACCAAAGTGATGACTTTCCAAAAGACTCAGGAATATTTCCACCCAGCCCCCTCTTTGCTTTATAACTAGGCTAAAAGCCAGCCCAGAAAGGAAATTACTAAGAGCAGTTCTCAAACAGAGCAGCTATTCTCAAGGGTCTGATAAGAAACACCTGTGTGACTAAAGAAGAGAATACGTAAGACAGTTCAGAAACTAAAAAAAGCTTTGTATGGAAATGTATGATGACCACAATGTACAATAGAGATAAGCGGAAATTATTTCCTTGAAAGGTACTGTAACAATAAAAATCACTTTGGTTGGGAGACAAACAGAGTGTCTGAACTATATGGGGAAAGTTTTTTCTCTCTCTTTGCCTGCTCAACCGCTTATATGGTTGTAAAGTTCCTGTCTCTTTTTGAATGCTCAACAACAGGGGTGAAATTTAGCAGGTTCTGGTAGCGGAAATTTTGAGTAGTTTGGAGAACTGGCAAATAACACCTCTGGCTGCCCCCAGAGTGGGGTGGGAATGGAGATTTTGCAATATCCTTCCCCTGCCGTATTCTTCCCCTTCTGTGGTTCTTACGCCCACAGAACCGGTAGTAAAAAAATTGAATTTTACCACTGCTCAACATAAGAGTATCATATGAAGCTGTGTGTTACATTTGTTTAGACTATTATCCATTATTCTCAGTTAATTCTCAGTGGGAACTGAAACAGAAACCGAATTAAATCTGCTAAAACTTGTATAATCTATTTTTTAAATGGCTGAGAGGCTGGAGAAAGCTTACAAGGCTCCTCATTTTGGTTCCAGGGAGGGAGGGAGGGAGGGAGGGA